CCTATTGGCAAACCTGTTCCTGGTAAAATGCATTTACATATCTTTAGAAAGCCTGCTTAAAAACACTATTACTCTGGTTTGAAAAATAAAATGCATTATTCCCATTTGCAAATTTAGGTCACCTTTCATTGGGAGAAGACACACCTTTAAAATAGCAATCATTTCTAGAGCACACACATATTTAATTCATATTTTCAAGATGTATTTAAGGACAGTGTATCTTTAAATGATTTCTTACAAGAATTTTCTTCAAACTGTGAATACAATGCCTTGTGATTTATAAACAAAATATGTTTTTCTAAAGTTCCCCTGACTTCAATCTTGTAAAGAACCCTTAAAGGAAATGTATGTCCAGTGGGGCTTTACCAGCCTCATATTTAATCTGGTAATAGAATCATTTCAAAAGGAAAAATAAAAGCAATATATACAGTGCAAGTGCATTTAAACCATTCAACATATTTAAACTGTAAAAATTAAAATATATTATGTATTTTATTATGCATAGCAGAGCCAAGGGCGTCAGCCAACTGACCTAATAATCCAATAAGTTATGTAGAAGGCAGTTATGCCGAGATAAGAGCTCAGAACAGCTGCACATATGAAATGTTTAGCATCACAAATATACTCAAGGATGGCTGTCACTCAACACGTGCAGAGAAAGAGCTGTCAGGCTGATAGGCTTTGGGTTGAAAGGGAGGCTTTTATGTGAGATTATAAATATTGATTTCACTGAGAGAGAACAGTTTATGAGCTTGTGTACATGATGCCAGCCTTTCCATTTATACCATCGTGCTATGTGTCAGTGGGATCTAAATGTCAAAGGGTTTTCAGGGTAATCACCAAAGACATTTGAAATAACTTGGAAGTTCTTATTTCTTTCTTCTCGAAGTGCTTATGCTTTTGAGAGCTCAAATGATAATTTGCAGTGTAAAAGATTAGATTCTAGTGTGTCTGCTGATTTCTACTGGAGGAGGTAGACACCCTCTTAACCATGAGAAGGCTGCATTTCAAATTAGGCATCCAATGACTGCAAGCTGACAACCCACAAGATCATGCACCAGGGGCTGGAACAAGTGAAAATAGAAAGACAGCTTTTGCCCTCAAAGACGCCTCACGTCCTAGAGAAAATTGAAGGAGGAAAATGAATGTGCCAGAGCAGTAACATTTACACAGGCACATACTCAAAGGGCTCAGTTTTCCTATGAATAGCGATGTTAGGTTCAGTTTGACACACGATGCATTTTCATCATGTTCAGGTACTAAAGTTCTGTGCCTCTCTTGCTGCTATAATGTGGTTACTTTTTAAAAAGCTCTTATTATTGGTAGACAGGCAAAATGATGTTAATTTGGTTATAAAAATAAAGGAATAAATAGAAACCTAAAAACCAAACCTAAAGTCAGTAGCAAAGCTGAGCTTTAAAGGGCTAGTGTGGGTCTACCGCTGTCCATGCCATATTTCTAGTTTAGAGAAACAAATAGTGGTCTCTCCTAAAGAGCTGCCATAGGCAATAGAAGATGAAGACTACTTTCAAAATAATGAGAATCTCTAACAGCCTACTTTGTTGTCAGACAAACTGAGAAAATGTGAATTACTCCAAACAAAGCTTTATTACAGTATAGCACATAGAAACACATAGACAGACAGATAGACACACATACAGGCAGACAAAAATAGACATATATAGACACACACACACACACACACACACACACACACCACACACAAGATTCCACTATAATAAACAAGCACAAATGTATTATGAAGTCACCACAGATGACCTTCCACAATATTTTGAGAGACATTAGTGTGCTTGCTTTAGAAATGAAGTTAGTTCCAGGAGGCTTTCTTTTAAATTTCATATTTTTTCCCAGCTGAAGTTTCCCTTGCCATTCACAGGCATATAAATGAAAGAGAAGGCTTATTATACCCAGATCAATGAACTTTTGTTAAGATATAACGTATGTTTGGAAAAAAGGAGAACTCTTGAACATTGTGTGGGGATGAAATGGAACAGCCGTCATGGGAAAGCACTTGGAGGTTGCACATAAAACTGAAAATAGAGCATGATTCTGCAATCCTTCTTTGGGTATTTACCCCAACGAGCTGGAAGTGGTGTGTTGAGGTCTGCATCCCATGTTCCTTGTAGCACTGTTCCTGATTGTTGTTATAGTATCCATGTATGTGTATGTCAGTGATGAGTAGAGAAAGAAAATCTATACATTCAATGGATGCTATTTGGCTTTAAAAGAGACAGGACCTCAGTCATTTGTGAAAACATGCATCGACCTTGAGAACATTATGTTGAGTGGAATAAACTAGGCATGGGATGACAAACAGCAGCAGGGCATAGTGGCTCAAGGCTTGGGAGGCTGAAGCAGGGGAATTGTACTGAGTTCAATCAAACCTGGGCTATACAGTGAGTTCTAAGCCACCCTGACCTGCAGAGTAAGACCTTGTCTCAAAAAAAAAAAATTAAAATAAACAGAACAAAAAGACAAATACTTCATGTGCTTGTTTAGGTGTGAGGTCTGAAGCATCCAATGCAGAAACAAACAGTGGAAGGTGGGGGGTGTGGGGTGACGGTTGAGGCACAAAGCTTTGGTTAAACCTAAACTGAAATCTGTCACAGTATTCTTACTACAGTTAATAAAAGCATACGACACAGTTCAAAATTGCTAAGAAAGTAAATTACAAATGTTCTCACCACAAAATGATTAAGGTATTGATATGCTGAGTAAATTGATTTAATTGCTTCATAATGTATTCAGAAGTTGTAACATCATTTTACCCTCAAAATTATGCTTTTTTGTCAATTTGCAATAAAAATAAAAAATTTAAATATATGAAGTACATATGGAATTTTCAATGACATACAAGCTAGTATCTGAATCCTCTTTATAGAAGAAAAAATTCTGTAATAAATTCTATTTCTGATCACTGAAGTTTAGGATTCATTTCTGATCATGGCAAAAACCAAATGACTCTGACTACAATTGTCTTCTTGAATTCAAAAGTTAGAAACATCCCTTGCAGACAGGCCTCGCTTCACTTAATTTTCACTTAGTGGGCTCATCTAAATCATCCTTGCACTTGGATTTAATTTCTAGATTGTACTACTTTTCAAGGTTAGTTGAAAGCATTATATGTTAGTTAAGTGATTAGAACAAATTTCCTTTAAGTCACAACAGGCTTTCTTTTGCCATTAACTTCCTCCTATTCTCAAATTTCATAGACATGTTTCCATACATTAGCTTTCACACACCGAGAGAAGAGGCTTGAAATTGGTGCTCAATACTGCCCTTGCTTATATAATTTCCTACTTAATACAAGTAGAATATTAAAATTAGTGTCTAACACCTGTATTATAAAGGCTTAGCTTTCATCGGCTGTTTTGGGGGAAGATATAATAACAAACCATATTATAAATTGTTATAAATATAAGTAGTTCTTTCCTATTTAAAATGCTTGAGAAATTCTCTAGGGATGGTCAAAGAGTTTTCATACAGAATATTCACCTGAGGGTCATCTTCTTGACCACACACCTCTATTACGCCTTCCTTTGACAGCATTATTTCTCCTGTGGTTATTTCTTCTTTGTTTTTTTGAGATAGGGTCTTCCTGTAGCCCTAGTGGACTTGGATCTCTTAGAGATCCACTTGCTTCTGCCTCTCTTTCTTGTTTTTATTGAAAAAATATTTTATTGAAAATATTTCATTCTTCATTAAGGTCCTATACCTGTGAGGTTTCTTCAGAATCTTAATATTATCACAATCCTTTGTTTTGTTTTTTCTCAATGGCTTACATCTTAAAAAAAGATGCAATGGCAATTACTTTGACATTTTAAAAACAAAACAATCACATTAATGCTTCCCTATCTTAGAACTTAAATATCTCTTGGTGGAATAGGAATCTCAGTGAGTTATCTGTCCTTTATAAAACTTAAGAACAATAGCTAATGGCAGTGGTCTTGAAGTGATAGACATGATGTTAAAGTTCAAGCAGCAGTGCACATACTAATTAAATTAACTAGGAATATATATACATTATATTATATATATATATATATGATTTCCCTTTCATTAAGAGCTCATGTGTTGTTTAGTCAAAATAAGGTTACCAGGAAATAAATGAATACATAAGAATGAGCAATAGAAGTCAGTGAAACTATTCAGTTAAAAGTTTCCCAGTAAAAAGGATATACATAGTCATACGAGATACACTTCACTGTTCTTAGAATAAAGGATTTATAACTGGCTTCATCTACTCATCTGTTCAATTGACTTTTAAAGAAAAACTGAACCATCAGTCCTAATCTGATAGTCAGTGGATGCGGATGAAATCTGAGTTCTTTATTACAGTTCTTAAACTAAAGCTTAGATACTGTTATATGGGTAAAGCAAAGTGAAATATACTTTAATCAATTCTGACTGCTTAGCATGGCAATTTTATTAGACATCTATATGGAAAAGTATCCATCAGGACTTCACTTATATAAAAATAGGTACAACTTCTGGGGAAATGTGTAGAGAAAGAGTCAAAACAGATTTGGAGAGTTGTAGAAAAATTGGCAAGATTGACAGCAAAGAAAATTAGGATAAAGACTTGGGTAAAAGAAAACTAGAGCATCAGTTTTGGATTTTGTTTTTAGATTAGATCATGAATTATATTACCATAAATTAATTTATAGTCTGTCAACTTTATTGCTTATATGTACAATATAAATATGTACACCTTTTATAATATCAAATTACAACTTTGATATTTAAAATCAATTGGGTGTCATTTTATAGATGTAATTATTGCCAAGGGTACCACATTGATCTGCTCAGTATGTGGGAGTGGGCAAAGATGCTAACCTCTTGTTCAGTTATCTTAGTGTCTGCCCTTGTAGTTGTCTTTAGAGCCTGCGAAGCTGCCTAAAAGAGATTATGTTCAGTCTCAAGCAGAAACAGTAATGGGGTGGACTGTAACTTTTAGTTTGTTATTTCATGCACTTTACCTGATTCTTGAGATCCAGTTTGGGACACGGTCGACCTCCATTGTAAGGTTTTTCTTTTAGCCATTTGGATCGAATTCTCACTCCAATCCCACAGGATGAACTGCAAGAACCCCAGCTAGACCAGTCACTTAACTTGCAATCAAACGGGCAGGGGATAACACATTCTTCTTGAATATAACCTGAAAGAAAAAGCTTTCAGTGAAGATAGGAAAGTTTGCTTCACATACGCTAATCAAATTCCCTTTCTACCCTGACAGCTCAGATTTCTCCACAGTCTTGCTTCAGTGATTTCAATATATTTCCACTCATAAACAGACCAGAGTTTTAGGAGACAGATAAATATAATTACATATATACCCAATTTGTGCCATTCTGTTCATTTATGGGAATTCTGAGATGGAAGAAACAGGCTAAGAGGGAATGAAGAAGTTCAGGACTAACGCTGGGCTGGATTATCTGCCCCCCATTGAAGCTTGTGTTCTGTTATCCTAAAACTACAGCTCTGCAATTGGATCAAGGAGCATGAGGGTGACTCCTTCATCTGCCTGTTATCTTCAAGGTTTCATAATAATGATGATGAGCCACTCTTCTATAGTGTGACTTGGAGGTAGAATAGAGATAGAGAGATGACCTCAATACCATTGAAGGTAGAGGAACAGTAACCTGTTGTACATCGGATGATGTGCAGGATTGAGGAGCTATGGGATGAAGTGAACTTCAGAGGGTCCAGCTATGCTTGGTTGAACTCCTATCTTCAGCCCACCTCCAGCACAGTCTGTGACTGACCTCATGGTTTTAATGATCACTTGTGCTTACCAATGCCCAAATACATAGCCCCAATGCATATCTCTCTACTGAATTCTATGCCAGCTATTAAGATACTCTAATTATATGCCCAGATTCCTCAAAATGTCTGACACAGAAATTGTCCATTTCTTCCTCAAGTTTTCTGATCTTCCTGTGGTCCATACTCAGTTGCAATGTCATCAGATTCCTGTACCCTGCTGTACATTCTTTGTAATTATGTTCCCTCTGAGTTTGAGCAGGGACTGTGCGTGTGGTAGGGTCTCATTCTCATAAGTAGGTTACAGCATATGGCCATGGTAAAGGTAACTTATAGATATAGTTTATGTGGCAATTCAGGTGACTGGATTGAGTTAATAAGAAGAGACAACCCTGGGTGTGCCTGACTTAATCAGGTGCAACCCCTTAAGAGAGGGATTGGTTCCATTCATGTAGACAGAGAGTCTACATCTACATGAAGATGAACTCTGCTGAAATCCTGGGGGAGCTCAGAGGAAGAGCTTTCTTTGCCTGGGATGAATGCCGAGCCCTTAATCATGCTTTACAGCCCCATAGGACCCTTAAGCAGAAAACAGAGATGCCAGGTGGGGACTCCTAACCAATGGAAAAAGGGGTTTACTAAAGGCTGCTTTGAACTACAAATTCTGTGGCAATTTGCTACATGACAGTTAACACCCAAGGAATAATTCAAAATGGAAATCTCATAAAACCTAGCCCTTCCATCATTCTACACATACATTGGTATCATGAGTTCTTGTGTTAAAAACCACAAATGTATCCACTGAACTATACTGCCTTTGCCAGTCCCTAGCTCATTCTCCTGACATTTCTGGCCTGGAATGCAGTACTCCTGTCACTGATCTCCTTTCCCCAGTTTTTCTCTTTTGGTATCTGTTAGTCATTCTGAGGTAAAAGTACTTTTCAAAATGCAAAAACATTTGTATTCTTGGTCTCTTTAAAATCCTCTGATTCTTCACTGGATTCTTCATAATAAAATGCTGAACTATATTACAAAAGCAAAAGACAAACTGAGCTTCTTTATCAAAAGTTCCAAGCAATGGTTTGTAACCTTACCTATAGACTGTATCTTCATTGCCTAAGGTGTGCGAAACACCAGTTCAGCCCTAATTGCAGAGGTTGAATACCAGAAACTGGCAGATTAAAACATCCTTAGGTGGCTCTGGCATGGTTTCAGTGTGAACACCACCTCTAGTTTGTTTTTTCTCCTCTCCTTCCAGCCCCTGTGTCTTGGATTCTGTCTTTACAAGCTACTCCATCTTCTCCAATACCAGCTATGCCTTTGCTTATGCAAAATAAGTTCTGTAGCAGGCAACCCACCCGTGGTCCCTACTTTAGCCATTCTCTTCCAATACTACTGATCCCTTGTCCCAGGGTCCTTCCATCTTACCAGAGTCAGAACCTCAGACCTCAGACAGCCCTGTGTTCTTCCCTCTGTGCTTAAAATAAGACTACCAAACAGAGGCAGGAACATGCTAGAACTGTAGGTGTGGTGATACTTCCATGTGTACTCTGTCTTCAGCCAAGCACTCTCAAGGCCTGGGTAATTGTGTTTTCCTCTCATTCTCCTGTATTATAGAGCTTTCAAACCTTCTCCAGCTGACTTTTAACTTCTGAGACCTCATTTCTCCTATCCTGCAAGCAACAGAAAGAATGAACCAGAACTCCTTCAATTTCCTATGATTAAATCTATTTACATTCCCAACTTCCCATTCATGAACAAGGCACCCACTTTGTTATATGAGGCACATTCTTTACCCTCACTTGAACCTGACTTCTTCAAATCTTTGGGCTCTTTAACAACCTATTTCTATGATTAATTCTCTCTCTCTCTCTCTCTCTCTCTCTCTCTCTCTCCCTCCCCCTCTCTCCCTCTCACTTCTTCTGCATCTCTTTTTCCCTCTCCCCCTCTTTCCTCCTCTCTTTTTCTCTCACTCATTCCTCCTCCTTCTCTCTCATTTTAATTATGATTATATATCTCTTAGAATATTATTAGAATGATTTGAAATTAATCAAACAATACCCATCAATAAGCGAAAACCAAATTTCCCGATGACAGGAATGTTCCTCTGGAGTTGGACTAAAAAGACTCTAATTAAGATTGTTAAAATAATAATAATTGATTATTGTTCAACAGCTTTACCTCTGCAGTTACTTCTAATGAGGTTTTATAATCAACTACGTATTATTAGGAACACAGCCAAAGTTACATAAAATACTAAAGAGATGCCCCACACATTATATAATTTTACAGAGAAACTAAGCCACAAAATGATTTCATTGGTTGTCAAATGAAAAGAATAGGACAGGAAACTGGGATTTACTCTCATGGCTGACATATTTCAAATATGAGACTGCAGATGTCAGACTATTTCACATAAATATATTTTAAATATTTGAGTGTCTATATAGATCCTATTTTAAAGTACATTTTGAACTAGACATTCTTTTAATTGAATGAGATTTTAAATCTTTTTCATCTGTGCTTGCATACTGAAGGACTTTAATCAGCAAGCCTCTAGCAATAGTTTTTTCCTTTCCCTATGATAAGAAGTAAACCCAGAGGATCTTCATGAAAGTCAAAGTTATAAATTCAATGAGTATAAAATAATTTTGAAATTCAGCAGGACTAAGTAACAGTGACATTTATTTTTCAGGAAAATTTCCATGCTAGAGTACGCCCCCAAGGAAAGTCCAGAGTGAAAACCATTAATAATCACATATTCTTATGCCTGACTCATAATTGAAAAGATTAGTTTTACCCTCACATTTAATGCTTACAGATTCTAGCAACAAAATATGATGGAATATGACTGTCCCAAGGTCAGTCTTCTCTATGAGACTTCCAATTGCTAACTATTGAAATCACACAAATGTTTTAAAAACTAATTTCCATAAAATATACTGCAGCATAGCTGTTTTCTTTCAGATAATGCTTCACTGGCAACATTCATATGTCTAAACTCAATTTCTGTGAAAGAAACAGTCTCTACCAAAAATGTATCTTCTTCTATAAGGCTTATGCAGAGCATGTTGCTTGGACCACTGACTGACCTAGGGAAGACTTGTGTCCTGTTTCACTAATCTGCACACATCCAAAATCAGGTGTGAAGTATGAAGTAGTCAGCACACAATTACCAGCACAGCATGCAATCAATTTGTAAACTGTATACCCTATACACATAGGAGGTGACCAAAACAGCTTAGTATGGATAAGGATGGGCTGGCTAGGGTCCATTAATAGCATTTCTACCCATGATAAAACTAGAGGTACTTGTTTAATGACACAGCAAACAAAGTTGAAGCCAGGGACATAGAATGAAATGATTCACTCTCTACCACTAATTCCCCCAACCTCTTAGTTAACACACATCAATAGAAACAGTTCTAATGTGGTGGTCTCTTTAATGCAACCACTTCCAAGACTGTTGCTTTGTGTGTTTTTCTTCCTTCTCTCCATCATTCAAATACTAACCCATTTTCTCCCATTAAGATGTGAAAGAGGAAAATATTGATAACATGAAGTTCAAGAAAATGACCCAGATCAATCCACTTATATTTTATTACTCTGTAAAGTAGCAGCAAACATTATATTAGTCAGTTCACACTCTGTATTTGCTGCCTCTGGGCTCAAATTATTAAAGCACAGTAGGAATCTTATAAAATGGAAACTTTTAGCTGGGCGTGGTGGTGCACGCCTTTAATCCTAGCACTCGGGAGGCAGAGGCAGGTGGATCTCTGTGAGTTTGAGGCCAGCCTGGTCTACATAGTGAGTTCCAGGACAGCTGGGGCTACAGGGAGACCCTGTCTCAAAAAAAAAAAAAGACAAAAAAGAGGAAACTTTCTTTTCATTTTTTTAAACTTTTACAAAAACTTTATTGAGCATTTCATACAAAATGGAAACTTTTTAAAGATGCATTTTTTTTTTATTTTATGTGTATGAGTGTTTGCCTGCATGTATATAAATGTACCATGTGTGCACCTACTGCCCTCTGAGGTCAGAACAGGGCATTGATCCTCTGGAAGTGGAGCTAAGATGGTTGTTAACTGCCATGTGGACTGAACCTTGGTTCTCTGCAAAAGCAGCCAGTGCTCTTAACTGCTCAGCCATTTCTCCAGCCCCATGAAAAGGTTTTTCAAATGCAAAATCATCTAAGATCTGGGACAATCATGAGTTAAAAATCATATTGTACTCTCATTTTTCTGCTTTTAAGATCTGCTGTTTTAATTATATATTTAAAAATATTTTTATTAATTCTTTGAGAATTTCAAACAATGTATTTTGGTCATATTCAGACTCCCTCCCTACTCCTCCACTGACTTCATGTCTCTTTATTATCTTTTTAAAAAAGGTCTA